TTTGTTTTTTATGTAGTCTAAAATAAGATTCTTAAGATACCTGATGATTGAACCCTTAAGCAAGGTTCGAAACGCGTCGTATTCTGCTCTGAATCTTATTGTTGAGTGATTAACACACCCATCATATAATATTTACTACGATACGAACAAATAAAGTTGATCTTTTATGTCAAGTATATTCCTTTCGGATATAATGGTAATGATTGTTTCTTTTTGGTGATTTTCTTTGTTGAAAATTCCTTTATTGAAATAATTTTATTATTATGTTTTGAATTCTAGGTTTTACTTGATGATCTTCTTTTGTTTTTTATGTAGTCTAAAATAAGATTCTTAAGATACCTGATGATTGAACCCTTAAGCAAGGTTCGAAACGCGTCGTATTCTGCTCTGAATCTTATTGTTGAGTGATTAACACACCCAACTCCCAGACGGTTTGGGTTTGAGTTTGGGTTTGATGCATGCCTACCCACACCCTCAACCTTTAATAAAACTGGAAAATTCATGGGGCAATTTATTTTCAATAGTTCTTAAATGATGAGTGGCACGATCTATACACCGCCTAAGTGCATGGCAATAGGCAAACGCATATGCGATTCATGGAAAGAAACATGTCTTCATTCCGCGTTCTTAAGTTAGTTATACTTCTGCCTTTGCTTTCTGCGAAAATGGTCATTCAGCTGTGAAAACAGAATATTATGTTTCGAAACATAATTGGGGTAATTTTCTGCCAGCGAGTCAATTAGATGCTGGCCAGAATTTCTGGCGAAATATTCGATGATTGATTCACATTCTTCGATGATACGCTCCTTCTCGATGCATTTTCCTTTTTCGTTAGCGATGGTATACTCATTTTGCTTGCATGTTCTTTGTAAATCTTCGATAAGAGTCTGCTGCTTTTTGCATTTGTTCGACAAATCCTGGTTAATGTATTCTTGTTTTGTGCATGAGTTTTGTGCGTTTTGCAAGTCATTCAACATGGTCAAGTTGGCCGCTTTTGCATGTCGTACTTCACTGATTTTCGTCTGTGCGATTGGAAATGGTTTGATATCGCTGGTGAACACCTTGATTAAATGTGTGCGATATTCAGAGATAGTCACGTACTCGTCAAGGATACATTCATTACCATTGCTATAATTATCGTGGTTGATTGAACCCGAAAAGAAGATCCCTAATTTGAAGAACGGTGCGATTTTTTTGAAGAACTTATCTTCCTCTAATTCTTTTTTTATTAGATTCAGCTGTCTTTGGGTTTTTGATTCGCAGTGTGTTACAATCAGGCACGAATTGCTCGATATTTCATTGCCGAGAAAGTCCACAAACAATTCAATTGCTTTCACATCTTCTCCATTGATACCAACCGTAATGGCAACACAAAAACAAATCACATTAAACGAGGTAATTTCCATATTAGCACACGTTTCTATAGTTGTCAAAATCGCGTGGTTATCACGAATGCCATTCTCATCAGTGCCACGTTCGAAGAGACCTGGCGTATCTATAATGTTAAGTGTCGCGTCCATGTCTTTAATGTAAAATGATTCTATATTAGGATCTCTTGTGCCAGATTTAAGCGTCAATTCATCGGGCACTTTTGTGGGATCCAGCAGCATTGATTTGATCGTTGATTTTCCTGAACGTGTTCGCCCTATGATCATTATATTTTTGCTGTTAACTTTTTTCATTACGTGGGTTCCATATTTCTCGAAATCAGCTTCGATCTTCTTTTTATATTCTTCGCGCTTCGCGTCTTCATCAATAGCCTTACGTGTATCCCGAATTGACATCTGGAAATTAAAAAAATAACAAATATGATGTGTAAATATTATACAGCCTATGACTGGCACCACATTCTACTATATAATAGCCACATCTAACAAAGCGGTGGGTGTCAAAATTGTTTGAGTAAGTGTGAATTTTGGGTGTGTATACCGCTCACGCTCATGAGCCTGACCGTTTCTGATTTATCGAAAGCACGAGGGCCCCTGTTTACTTTTTTCAACTGTATTCCCCAACAATCGACATCGGCGATTTTCGTGCCGCGGATTCCCTTCAGACATTCCAAAACATTTTTTCTCACGGTTCTGCGCCAAGTCCTTATTTTTTGATAGCCCTAAGTGTGCTGATTCCAAAAATCATATAAATTTACAAAAGTACTCCGACAATAAGAAAAATATAAAGCATTCAATGAAAGGGTGTGGGTGTGGGTGTGGGCGCGAGTAAAGATGAAGAACACCGCCCACATGCACTCACACCCACGTTCACACCCACGTTCACACTCACACCCTCTTGATCAACATCAATCTTGTATGGGTAAAACCTATGTTTTTAAACAGTGTCCAAAACTTCAAAAGCTTACAGATATATGCTGCTGATTTCTCGACATCAATTCGAATCTAATATGAAATTTCTCCATAGTAATGGGGCTAATTCTACAACATGGGGGCTGAGTTTAAGGATATCGGGGATGACGAGAAAATCTATCATATCCCACACTGTAAAAAAAAAGAGTAGAATAATAAACCCTTCCCTTATATATCAATCTTCAAATACTCTTCAAGGGTTTAAGAGAGTATCATAAACCCTTAAAGGGTTTATGACTCGAAGGGTTTATGAAAGCAAGGGCATATGAAAGTAAGAAGGGTTTATGACTTCTGGAATTAAGGGCAAGGGTTTAGTATTCTACGGGTAAAGGTATATTATTCTACGCTTTCACTAAAAGGGTTTAGCATTTTACACGTAAAGGTATATTATTCTACGCTTTCAGTGAAAGGGTTTATTATCTTTGAAATTAAAGGCAAGGGTTTATGAAATTTGCATAAGAATGCAATTTTCCATTTTTAGTGAGAAAATAAAGGTTTTTCGCATAAACATGCATTTTTCAGTACCCAGTTTTTCAATACTGATTCACACTGATAAAATGTTTCTTACATCTAATACTAATATTTTTTGCTTGTCCTAGTTAACATATCATCTGTAGAGGAAAACTCATCAAGCTTATTCTAAGATTTGGTTATTATACAACACTAAAAGGAATGGTAGATCAGTAAACATTTAAAGGGCTTATGAAAGTGCAACGTATATTAAACCCTGTTTCGCTTACATAAAATTTCGCTAAACCTTTTTTAACCGTATATGAACATTTCTTAAACCCTTTTCAGCAGTGGCAGAATTCTCACCAAGCAAAATTCGAGAATTCTGTTCATTTATAAACTATGCTATATTCTTTCTTTCCTGTATTATATTCTTTCTTTCTTGTGCTATTTTCTTTCCTTCCTGTGTTATTTTCTTTCTTTCCTGTGTCATTGTATACACACACACACACTATCTTAGATCGACAACAGAATTCTAAGCAGAATGAATCGTTTACCGGCAGAATTTTGTAAGAATTCTGTATTCTCTACAGAATTTTGTATCAATACAAGAATATATATATTTCNCCCAAGGTAGTGTGTGTATACAGTAACACAGAATTCTGCTGGGGAAACAGAATTCTGACAAAATTCTGCTGGGAAATGTTGAATTCTGCTTAGAATTCTGCTTTCTACCCAAGGTAGTGTGTGTATACAGTAACACAGAATTCTGCTGGGGAAACAGAATTCTGACAAAATTCTGCTGGGAAATGTTGAATTCTGCTTAGAATTCTGCTTTCTACCCAAGGTAGTGTGTGTATACAGTAACACAGAATTCTGCTGGGGAAACAGAATTCTCTCTTGGTAATGTGCAATGTGCCTTTAAGTCATATAGGTATTATTCTTACAGAATTCTGCTGGTTGTTCTTGGGAGAATTCTGCCACCCCTCACCCTTTTTGGGTATAGGATAGATTTCCTAAACCCTTGTTGGGTATAGGATAGATTTCTGAAGCCCGTTTTGGGTATGGGATAGATTTCCTAAACTCTTTTTTGGGTATATCTTAGATTTCCTAAACCCTTTTTTGGGTATAGGATAGATTTCCTAAACCCTTTTTTGGGTATAGGATAGATTTCCTAAACCCATTTTTGGTATAGGATAGATTTCCTAAACCCCTCGTAAGGGTTTATGAAAGTGCAACGTATAATAAACCCTGTAAGGGTTTATTATTCTACGGTTATTTTTTACAGTGCACATCGATATTGAAATTGAAAACTCTTGTCTTTTTGTTAAGTTTTACTACGATATCATGAGTGAAAGTTTCCATGTGGATTCACTCTTATTGTAACTGATACATATATTATTCGGATCACAGTCACAGTAGTCCTCTTTGTAAACAAACTTTACTTTCTTGTTTTCTGTTTCAGGAATACAGAAAAAAACTGCTACGGGTTACTGTGTTTTTCTTTCAGCAAATCAATAAGTGTGTTCTTCAATCGTATTATTATTCTAGATTTTCTTTATCTTATACTCTCATATGCACAGTTATTGGAATAGAAAAATAAAAATTACATTAGCTTATCATAGTCCCACGGTCTGCATTAATATTAGTTCGATGATCCTTATTGTTTATCTCGAAAAACCTAAATTTCTAGTATCTTTCGCAGTACAATCAAGAAAAAATCGAATGATGATAACATTATACTTACGTTCAAAATATAGCTTCGATGGTCGTTTTCGTTTTATCAATGATTGAGTGAATTTCGTATGAATTTATGGGTGAAATTTGTTTGGTTTTTTCCAGCTGACGCTTTTTCTCAAGTGTTGTTCTTTTTTGCGATATTGACTTTGGAATTTACTTTGCATGACGATTTGCACATAGTGACATATGAAACGTTTCTACTACGGAATGAAATCAGATATGAGTATGGATTAAAAAGAAGTAGAAGATTGACAACAATAATCATGAGTAAGATTATTAAAAGAACTATTAGAAATCTTTGAATTTTTCTCAGTGATAAGTTAGGCAATGCTTTCGTGTCGCGTTAGTTAATCTAATACACTGATTACCATTTATTATGAAATATTTTTAATATGATTTCATTTATTCGTTTCATATATTTCGTTGGTTCTTCGTAAAAAGAAAAAAAACTAATCTGAACAACCAATAAGCAAGTTGAAAACCGGTAATTGGAGAGGCACTGCAAGTGTTGTGAATACAGGTGACTTATTTCATTAAAATAGACGAAAAAAAACACACTTCTCTTTTTGATAATGCGATTTCTAAAAGAACGAACTTCTAAAATCTAGCCAGCAAGACAGATTTTGTTGATTGCTTGAATCATGAGATAAGCCTTTCAAACCCTTATAACAAGCAGCGTCCCTTAACTTAAAGCTAATATTGTTCTTCGTTTATTGACATGAATTCGTTCGAATTTCGTCGTTTCATATTGTGTTTCAAAAGGATTCAATATCGAAATTCAATCAGTCTGTTGGTTAAATGAAAAATGAATCATTTTTGTTTTCAATTAGATTGTCGATCCATTTCTAAACAATATTGTTGATCAAATAGTTGAAGTCGTACA